CTTGAGCCCAGGAGTTGGAGGTTGCTGTGAGCAGTGAAGCCATGCCACTCTACCCAGGGGCTCAGCTTGAAGCTCTGTCTTAAAAAAAAAAACAAAAAAAAAAAACTCCTGAGCTCAGGTGATCCACCTGCCTCGGCCTCCCAGAGTGCTAGGATTATAGGTGTGAGCCACCACCCCCAACCCCAATTCCAATCATTAAAAATACGAGTGGCTCGGCATCCGTAGCACAGAGGTTATGGTACTAGCCACATACACTGAGGCTGGTGGATTCAAACCTGGCCCTGACCAGCTAAATGACAACTCCAACAAAAAAAATAGCTGGGTGTTGTGGTGCTACGATGCCACAGCACTTTCCTGAGGGTGACATACTGAGACTCGTCTCAAAAAAAAAAAAAGGGAAGAGTGTGTGTGGGGGGGCTATAACACAGCTCTGAAAAAGGCAACAAGAAACATGACCAACAAAGATACTCGGGAGCTCTCTGTGGCCTGTCTTCTCTATCCAGAGGACAGAAAAGCCACGCAAAGTGATAGAGGACTTACCAGTAGGTTTTGCTCAGATACTGGAAATAGTACATGTAACAGCCTGTGGAGGGGTCTTGCGCATACAGAGCCTCCCGCTTCTTGGCATCAGTGATCTCGATGAGGTCCCCGTGGTATTCCACCACAAAGTCGCCCCGGGAGAACTGCTTGGTGGCTATCACACCCCTGCCTTTGCCATCAATGAGGTCAATCTGTTGGGAGGTTAGAGGTGCTGGTTGATAACTGCTGCCACACACGGCAACTTCCTGGGAGTCTGGGATTCATACAGCTCCCTAAAAACTTCGTTGAGGTATGCCATAAAATCTACTCATTTTATGCACACAGGTTGATGGGTTTTATTAAATGTATACAGTTGTGCAACTATCAACACAATCTAGCCTTAGAATACCTCCATCACCCCACAAATTTGGTACCCCTGTTTCCATCTGCAAAGCACTGTTATATTAGAATCTCAGGCAACATCTGCTAGGTGGGGGTTGCCCTACTTTGCAGATGGGAAACTGAGGCTTGGACAGGCAAAGCTACGTGTCAAAGGCCATACTGCTAGGCAGTGGTGTAGCAAAGACTCCAATCCACGGAGCTAGCCTCTCTGCTTAGGCACCATGCTCTATGTCACCCTTGGCAAACAGCAGGACCCAGTATTGTGGGTCTTTCCTTCATTCTATAATTTATTCAGATGTGTTTTTCCTCATCCTATTACATGTGGAGGTGCAGGGGACTGCTTGAGGGGCCCAGGACCTAAGTTTGGATCCCTCAGGGGTGGGTAGAAGCGGAAGCTCATCTGGCTACCACTGTGGAGTTACTTCCCTCTTGCCAGAACCAAGAGAAAAGCAAATTTCTTGGGCATTGCCATTACCAGGAAAACAGAGATTAGAGAAGCCAGACAGAACCAGCTACACACTGCATGACTCCATTTATATTAACTGCCCAGAAAAGGAGAACCCAGAGACAGAAAGCGGACAATGGCTGCCAGGGGCGAGAGGTGGGATGAAGACAACTAGCACTGGGCACGAGGGTTCTGACTGGGAGGGATGATGGCTGCACAGCATTAAGATACTAAATGCCATGGATTGTGTACTTGATAATGGTTAAAATGGTAAATATTATGTTATGGGTATTATATCAGTTTCTAAAAAAAAAAAAAAAAAAGGATATTTACCTATGTGGTACATTTATGTATGTTTCTTTCATAAGACATTTCCTTAAGAAGTTTTAATATTTGCCGCTCTGACAGCCTAAGAGAGGTAGACTGATGACAGTGGCCATTGGAGGGCTAAAGTCACATGGTGGACACTTGTCTGCAGAACCAGGGGAGGGAAGCACTTCAACCTCAGCCCACAGTGGGCAATGCTGCCCCTTACCTTCATGCCTTCTTCTTTCCCACTTTCAATCAATTCATCTATTCTTTTCCTTTCTTCTGACTGGATGGAGAGGAAAGAAAAAAGAATAGGATCAGCCTCTCTTCTAAGCCCATTCCGGGTACTTCTGTGGCCTTCAGCCCTGGCCACCTGGGCTATCATGCCCACAAGGTCAGGTCAACTTCTAGGACATCAACATTGGTCCCCAGTGGTGTTAAGGAGTCCAAGCACCTTTCTCTTTTTCTTATCACCTGCTGTGGATGATCTGTCATCTAGGTTCAACTGGATTCGGAAGGACCTAGTAATGGCCCAAGGGCAGAATGGGGTTATAGATATGTTCTGTTGGACCCAAGTAGTGGCTGATGCCTGTAATCTCAGCAGTTTGGGAAGCCAAGGTGGGAGAACTGCTTGAGTCCAGGACTTCAAGACCAGCCTGGGCAACATAGTATAACCACACCTCTACAAAAAATTTAAAAATTAGGCTGAGTGTAGTGTCTCACGCCTATCATCTTAGCACTCTGGGAAGCCAAGGCGGGTGGATTGCCTGAGCTCACAGGTTCAAGACCAGCCTAAGCAAGAGTGAGACCCATCTCTAAAAATAGGCAGGTGTTGTGGCAGGCGCCTATAGTCCTAACTACTTGGGAGACTGAGGCAAGAGAATCTCTTGAGCCCAAGAGTTTGAGGTTGCTGTGAGTTATGATGCCATGGCATTCCACTGAGGGCAACAAAATGAGACTGTCTCAAAAGAAAAAAATTAAAAAATAAGCCAGGTGTGGTAGTATATGCCTATAATTCTAGCTACTTGGGAAGCTGAAGTGAGAGGATAATTGAGCCCAAGACTTCAAAGTTACAGTGAGCTATGATGGGGCCACTGCACCCCAGCCTGGGTGACAGAGTGAGACCAAAGTGAAATTGTCTTTAAAAGAAAAAAATGAGGTTGGCACAGTGCCTATAATCCTAACACTCTGGAAGGCCAAGGCAGGTAGACTGTCTGAGCTCATAGGTTGGAGACCAGCCTGAGCCAGAGTGAGACCCCTGTTTCTAAAAATAGCCAGGCAGTGTGGCAGGCACCTGTAGTCCCAACTATTTGGGAGGCTGAGGAAAGAGAATTGCTTGAGCCCAAGAGTTTGAGGTTTCTGTGAACTGTGAACTATGATGCCAGAGTACTCTACTGAGAACAACATAGTAAGACTCTGTCTCCAAAAAAAAAAAAAGAAAAGAAAAAAAGAAGGCTAGGCACCTGTAGCTCAGTGGGTAGGATGCCAGCCACATACACTGGAGCTGGCAGGTTTGAACCCAGCCTGGGCCCGCCAAACAACAATGACAACTATAACCAAAAAACAGCCAAGTGCTGTGGCAGGTGCCTGTAGTCCCAGCTACTTGGGAGGCTGAGGCAAGAGAATCACTTAAGCCCTAGAGTTTGAGGTTGCTGTGAGGTATGACACCATGGCACTCTACCAAGGGTGACAGCTTGAGACTCTGTCTCAAAAAAAAAAAGTACAAATCACTGACATCTAAAAAGCAGGACAGGACTCTGGGCCAGGCATGGTGGCTCATGCCTGTAATCCCAGCACTCTGGAGGTTGAGGCGGGTGGATTGCTTGAGCTGAGGAAGTCGAGACCAGCCTGAGCAAGAAAGAAACCCAGTCTTGTAAGAAAAAAAAAAAAAAACAGCAGCCAGGTGTTGTTGCCAGCACCTATAATCACAGCTACTCAGGAGGCTGAGGCAAGAGAATCACTTCAGCTCAAGAGTCTGAGGATGCTGTAAGCTGTGAGGCCAGGGCACTCTACTAAGGGCAATAAAGTGAGACTCTGTCTCAAAAAAAATAAGAAAAGAGAAGAGGGGAGGGGTGGGGTCAGGACTCAGACTTCATGTAAAATCAGCTATGACAGATTGGACCACGCCCTTTGAACAGGACCAGATGTCTGTTTAGGATTCATCTGAACTCCATTTCTATAGAAGTCATTGCTAAGGATATATAGAGGGCCTCCCACCTATAGAGTTGGCACAGCCCTGAACAGAGAAGCTGGAGAGCTGTGGACACTCCCTTTTCCACAAGGCTACTACCTCCGTCCCTCACTCTCAGTCCCACTGCTATGCTGGTGCACAAGATACCAAGGAGCAAAAAGGAACGATACAAAGACATATCAGAAGCCCCAAATCAATGTGGCTTGCCAGCACAGATCACCACCAAAGCAAATGACACACACAGGAGACTGCCCCAACTGCTGAGTTCACATCTTCCCCACATGGAGCCCCGAACCAGCTTGCAGCTGCAGTGTGTCAGGCCCCATGTGTGCTAGGGACACTAGTAAACAGGCAACCTCAAGGACAGCCCCCAGTCCAGCCACCTGCTCTGAATTCTTGCTGGTACCCTCCTGCAGAGCCAGCTTGCTGTCCTGGCTTCCATGTTGACCCCCCACACTCTAGTACCCATAGACATGAAATTTCCATGCTAGTAAGTTTACTTAACAACGATGCACAGTGTTGCGACATATTTACCAGGGAAAACTGACAGTTAACAGTGGGAGAAGCTGGGTGAAGAGGCCTGTGGGAACTCTCTGTACTATCTTAGCAACTTTTCTCACTACCATGGCTAAAGCAGCCTTAGCCTGGACACTACTAAACCACTCTGCTTTATAAAATTAATGATAAAGTGCTGTACAAAATTATCATGGTTTTAGTTATTTTTTCATTAATCACTCCCAACTTGAATATAAGCTCCATGAGTACATGGAGACGCTGTAGGGGCCTGCTCTAGTTTATTATGAAGTCGCCTAGCCTAAAACAGTGGCAAGAAATAGGCCCTCAATGAAACACTGCACACATAACCACCCTGCTGCATGATCAGTCCACTGCAAGTGTGTGGAATCACAAAAAATATGGTGGTGGGTGGTGCTTATGGCTCAAGCAGCTAAGGTGCCAGCCACATACACCTGAGGTGGCGGGTTCGAATCCAGCTCAGGCCTGCCAAACAACGATGGCTGCAACCAAAAAATAGCCGGTGCTGTGGCAGGCGCCTGTAGTCCCAGCTACTTGGGAGGTGGAGGCAGGAGAATCGCTTGAGCCCAGGAGTTGGAGGTTGCTGTGAGCTGTGATGCCACAGTACTCTACCCAGGGCAATAGCTTGAGGCTCTGTCTCTCAAAAAAAAAAAAAAAAAAGAAATATGGTGGCCTCTTTAAAATGGGAATAGTCCTGGGAAAGCCAGCGTAGCCAACTAGGGATTTTCCTACTGGAACAAACCACAGCACAGAGGAGATAAGCTGGGCCCAGACCAGACACGCAACCAGAGTGGTTGAGTCATCTGAAGGCCAGAAGTCTGGGCCACACAAACCACCACTCTGGGCTTCCTAAAGAGGATTCTGGCAGCAGCCAATGGCAGGGCCTCGACAAAGATGAGTGGGAGGGATGTAAGGTCAGAATCCAGGTGGGTGAGGAGGGCCTATGCCCAGGAAGGAAGGGACCCCTGTGAGGTGGAATCAGCAGGTCACTCTACATGTTGGGCCCTGGGGCCAAGCAGGAGTTGAAGAAGCTAGGGAATTGGCAACAGGCACAATTACTGCCCCAGTGCTGGCTGTTACCACTACCCCCATATACAGAGCCAGGTCAGCCAGCTAAAGGGCACCCACAGTGAAGTGCCAAGAGGTTCATGGCAGCTCTCCAAGGCCCACCCTGTTTCCAAACTCTGTGACCCAGATACCACCCTATTGCCCTGGACCAACACCCTGTTCTACCAACTGTCTTCAGATTCAGTAAGAAGCTGTGAATTTCAGTTTCACTCCTGATACCTGGCCAACAGCCTCTCTTACGCCCCACACACCTGGGCACAAAAGGGTAGTCAGGCTTGGACTGACCTCACCCCTTGGGCTTTCTCTGTACAGTTAAGAGAACACACTGCCCTGACTAGCACTAGCCACATCATCCTGACCAGCTACGGCCCCACCAACCCAGACAGTTACAGCCTCATCAAAACTGGCCAACACAGCCTGACTGCCATGGCCAGGAATAGTCTGCACAGTGTTCATTTGGCAAAGCCAACACAAATAGTGAGAGGCACGGTAAGGCTCTCGCTCACAAATGGTTCTTCATCCAGAACAGAGCAGGTTTTATTACGCCTGCAGACCATGCTTTGGGGACCTAAGCGTGTCTTCCCTCTGCTCCTCTGCTGCAAGACTGAGCAGACCCACACCCTGGCCTGCTATAGCCTTCCCTCTTCCTGACAGATAAACCTTTGCTTCTCATTAGCAAGGAAAAGCCAGCTGCCCCCACCCTATATCCCACAGTGGCCAGGGAGAAACTCAGCACAGGCTGCCTGTGTGGGCGCTATGGTTCCAACCCGCTGGGAGGCGTCCCAGGTTCTGTGGCCTGGCACTGCCTCACCCTCTGCAATGCTGTCTTGAAGAGTGACCTAGCACAGCCTGCCACTGCTGGCCAATGTTTTATAACAGCTCATTCTTGGCAGAAAGACATTGACTTTTTCAGGAAATGAAGCCAAAGCTGCATGCTGTAAGGGGAAAAAATGGACCCCTTTTTTGGTTTCTTTTTATTTAATGAAGTTTCATCAATTAAAAGAAGGGGAAATGGCTCGGCGCCTATAGCTCAACCGGCTAAGGCGCCAGCCACGTACACCTAAGCTGTCGGGTTCGAATCCCCAGCCCGGACCCGCCAAACAACGATGATGGCTGCAACCAAAAAATAGCCGGGCGTTGTGGC